GGCAGCGGCCAAAAAAATGTTGTTGTTTTTGCTGCTGCGCCCGGGGGCTGTTGAACTGCACCACTGAACCACTGTGCACCACCGAACTGAAAGCGAGCTGAACTCTTTTATTTTGCACGTCTGTCTGTCTTCTTGTTGCAGTTGTTACACTTGTTTGTTGCTGTTGCTGGCGTGTTATATCTCACATTTTTCATCTCACGTTTGCCAAAAACAGCGAAAATATATATTGTGAACAGTAGAAGAACAACAACAGTGCGCAAATGGCCTGCCGGTCAGCAGGTTCAAATGTCGGCGACCTGTGAGCCCCACCGCAGCCGCAGCGACTGGTCCATGCAGTGTAAATCTCACTCGCTCTCTCTCTCTCTCTCTCCTTCTCGCTTCAGCTGTGAGTGTGTGTGTGCGCCCAAAAGTATGCAACGGCTTTTTAGCCTAGTTCTGGTTGCCCGCTTTTGCAGTTGTTGTTTTTGTTGTCGCTGTTGTCGCACGCATTGCTTGTGCCGCACACTCACACAAATACGCCCTAACACTTAACCAAGTATTTTTTGGATATTAATTTTCAATTACACCAAATACAAATTTCGTTTTATCTGTGTTCACTTTGCTATTGTTGTTGTGCTTCTAAATGTATGCATAGTGCACTTGTCTGTGCCTCTGTGTGTGTGTGTGTGTGTGTCTTTTCGTTTGTAGTAAAAATAGTAAAACGCTCGCAACGTTCGGCACTAAAAATAGTAGGAGCGCAACTAACGGCTTTTCATTTGTTGTTGTTGTTGTTGTTTTCGTTTTAATTGTTGTTGTTATTTTGGGCTGCGTAGTTCGTTGCGTAGCAAGCGAAAATGAGACACGCTCGTGCACCGGATAATGAAAGACTGTCGCGTTCGCTGTCGCCGTCGCTGTCGCTGACCGAAAGCTTAGGCCGAATAACCCACTGGCCGAGTGCTGAAGCCGAAGACGAAAACGACTTCGTGTCACAACGAATGGGGACGCATGAGAGCATGAAACGCGGCCATAGATAACAAACCAAAACGGCGCACAGGATAAGAAACGTTTTGGCAATGGAACACGCGCAGCGATAACAGCACTGCTGCGTTCTCCCTCTCTCTCTCTCTCGCTCTATTTGCCTCTCACTCTCTATATCTCTGTCTCTGTCTCTCTCGGTACCTATCTTTTGCACTCTCAATGCAGCAGTCTCAGGCGCATTGTATGTTGGGTGGTTGAGCGGGATGGGGGACTTGGCTTGGTTTCAAGCAGCCCAGCGCCTGCCCCCCTCTTCTTAGACAAGCAAGCGCGCAAGTTTTTGACGCCCGTGTTAAGTCTATTGGAAAAGAGGTCTTGTTCCTTTTTGTAATTCGCGTGTGCCCTACACCACTGCAGCATAGGCGAATCGCCATTTAACATGGACATGTACCATTTGAGACGTGTTTCTCAGTTTTTGTAGAATCCAAACGTCTTCTATAGAAATGCGATACAAAGATTTTCTCGTCGAAGTTTTAAGTTGCGCCCGATTTGCTTCAAACTTATTTTTAAAACTCTACATAAGAACTAATGAGTTAGTTTTTCAGCGAAAAGAAACATATTTAAAGATCTTTGTCAAAATTCATCTGATGGGTGTTTCGCCCTGTTTGGAACATCCATGCCTCCTTGGTAAAAATGGGGATCAAAGATTTGGTTGACTATCAGCTGTCTCTTTGTACGCAAATAAGTTTCTCACTCTAAAGAATCGGACCAGTTCAAAAGATTAGTTTTTGTATGGATAACTTATTTTTTCAAGCGAACAAAACCAGTCTATATTAACAATATCATAAAGATTAGGAAAAAATCCGCCTGTACTAAATATTTATTTGCTTAAAAAGGTAATTAGCTCTATACGGAATAGATAAAATATAGTCAGTTTTACGATATTTAACTCACATCTTGATCTATGACTAATTGAAGAATGACAGCTGTAATTTATCAAAATAAACCTATTGCAGTTTCTCTCTGCTCAGCTTAATTTATCACAGCTGTTGATGCCTATTAATGACAACACACCTGCAATTTTTTAAAGGTGTCTCCGCCGCTGCGTTGACTTTTTGTGCTGACGCACTGGCGCCCAGTCGAATCCACAAAGCACCCCGCAGAACATCATCAAAATAAATAAGCAAAACGGAAATTAATAAGACACAAACGCAGCGACCCCTTGTGGAGACCTTTTGCAGCTGGAAAAAAGGAGCAACAATAACGTGAAAAGGGAGAGGAAATAATGGTCATCGCCGTGGCGCCGCACATTAAATACCCTAGGAAGCACCTAGAAGTGCTTCCATGCAAAAACTGTTAGCACTTCCTTCCAATTTTATCTCTGATTGCTTTATTATATGCCCATATCTTCTTTAGTCGTAAATTCAAAGTTTGGCTAAGATATCTATATGAGATTTAATTGGGCTAATGCTGATAAGCTTTTGCCTTTTACAGACGAACAGGTGGAATTCATCCGAGAGGTAGGGAAGGGTTGGAGAGATTCCACTCAATTTGGGTAAAAATATATGTATATATATATATGTATAAGCAGAAGCACGATTACCTGTTTAAGAATAGCTTCATAATAATCTCCTTCGCTCTTTCACTATGAGAACACAATTGAATACAAACGCGTAGAGGCTGCAACCGATCAACGGTACGGACGCGCACAGACTAAATAGTTTCGTTAAGTTCGCGCCCACGCTAAGCCGGCATTCAGACTAATACAAGCACAACTGAGAGCGCACAACTATCGCAACTGCTGCGCTCACAGCATGCTCAGATAACGGTAGCATATGAGTTACAACCAATAGGTAAGAACGCAGTGGACATTTCGATTGATTATTTCGTTCATGCAATCAATGAACGCTCTTAAGTTGAACGGGATCCAAAGTAGAACTTAAATTGCAGAGAGAGAAAGAGAGAGAGACAAGACAAGACACATAAAGTTCGTTCCAACAAAATTATCTAATATAATTGAAAACCCACAATTATTTTGTTTTTTTTTTTTTAAGTTTTATTTATGTAGTTTTTTATTTTAATCATTGTTTAAATCTACAAATACATTTACAGCGGAGGGCGAAAGAACAAAAAATTAAAAATGTTTACTCTCATGTTTTTGTTTGTTTTGGGATTTTTTTTTTTGTTTTCTGTTTTAGTTGTTGTTGTAATATATTATATCGTATGCAAATTTTATACCATTTCTGCTCGTTTCTTGACAGTTATTCTGTTCCAAGTTCTCGTTCGAAGTTTTTATAGAATTGTTTTGCTTTCGCTATAAATATTTGTTGTTCACATTATGAATTGAAATGGATTTATCATCGCGTTTCGCTTCGTTTTAGTTTGGTTTTATGTTCACATCAACAACAATATCCATTGTCATCATCATTATTATTATTATTATTATTATTAATCAATATAATTTGTTAACAACTAATAATAATATTCTTTTGTTTGTCATAACTAACATGCCATAATGCAATCCACTAATGTATCATTTATTTCAATGATCGTTAAACAAAATAAATCGACTTTAAATCATAAAATGTAAATTTAACAAATCAGAAACTAGTTGAAAAGCAGCAGCGCATTTTTGTCTCTGCAATTGGGTGTGTGTGTGTGTGTGTGTGTATGTGTGTGTGTGGGTGGGTGTGACTGACTGAACGACTGACTGACTGATCGATTGACTTATTGCGCATGCTTGTCACATTTTCACAACATTTTCAATTAGTCAAACGCAAATTGTGAGTCTTTTGTTTTTTACCTTTTCAGTCACAGTTTTGTGTGTGTGTGTAAAGCGTAAGTTAAAAAAAAAAACAAACAATACTTTTAGCTACTGCCTTGGGCATGCCGCCATTTTGTTTAGGCTGTGCCGTGTAAAACGTTGCAAACATTCAATTTGTGGGCGTGGGCGTGGCTTATATGTTTATGTTTGAGATTTGTGTTTTTTATTTATCTTGGGCTTAAAATGCACACAAAGCATAAGTATTAAATTTGTATATTTTTTATATGGCTTTTATAAACATTTACTCGTCATATAACAAATTGTTTTTATTTTCCGGCTCTTGCTCTCTTGCTGACCGACAGCTCCGGCGGGGCATACGCTGCCCGGGCATGGGGTATGCTGCTGTTGCCGGTCCGTTTGGCTCTATGCCGCCAGTTTGGTAGGTTTCGTTTGTTGTTGTTGTTGTTGTTGTTGTAAGTATTGTATATAGCTCCATTTATATAATCAAATTTGTTTTGTTTCCATATAATATATGTGTATATATATAAACAATTATATTAATTGCGTTTGCCTCTTTATTATTTAATTTCATTTATGCATTTTGCCCCACAAATTTGCTCGAAATGTACTTTGTTGTTGTTTTATCTTTTGCATCTTCTCAGCTTATTTTGTAACTACGCTAATTTATTCATTTGTTTTTGCTTTTTAGTTTTTTGTTTTCTGTCAAAATTTTCGTTTTTTTTTTTCTTTGTTTAAATTTTATTTTATTAATTTCTCTAAACTTCTTATATAATTTGTCTCTTCATGCGTTGTGTATGTGTGTGGTGTGTGTGTGTGGAGTGTGTGTGTGTGTGTGTATTAATTATGTTAGTTGCGCTTAGCTTTGCTTTTGTTTCTTGGCGCTTTTTCGTTTTCTATATATTTTCTTTGTATAGCATCTGTTATTAAATATTGTTGTTTATGTTTTTTGTTAAATAATTTTACTAAAAACTTGTTTGTTAGTTTATTGTTTGTGGGTTTGTTGTTGTCGAAAATTGGTTTTGTTTTGTTTTTTTTTTTCGTTTTTCTTGAAGTTTTTACTTTATTTTTATTTAAATCTTATTTATAGCTTTAATTTATAATTTAAATTTACTTAAACGTTTAAAATAATTATCGCTTGCATTTTTGTTTGTTTTTATTTTTTACTTTAAATAATTAAATTAAAATTTAAAACATATTCAAATATGTTTTATGCTATAGCTGTTTTTGTTGTTGTTATTTGTTGCTGTTGTTGCTGTAGTTGTTGTTGTTGCCACACAGAATAGTGTGTTCGCTGTGGTTGCACTTGCGGTTGTGAGTGGCTTTGTGTTAAATAAACAATTACTATTTGTTGCCTTTGCTGGTTGCGGTTATTTGTGTTGTGTGGGTGTAGATGTGTGTTGGTTGTGTGTGCATGTGTGTGTAGCTGTTTAATAGTATGTCTCCTGCTCCAACCAGCCGCCAGGATTGCGACGCAAGTAGAAGCGACGCGTCTCATCATACACAAAGATGGCCAACATAAATGGAATGGCTGGGAACCACCAGACGAGTCTGTGTAAGACCGAAAACAAAGAACGAGTTAAAATTTGATATATTCAATGCAAAATGTCATAATACAACTCACTTCAGTGGGTACATGCGCAGACCCTTATCCATGCCGGGGCAGTATGAAAGGAAGGCAGCCAGCACCGTTTCGAAAACGAGGCCAAAGTTCAAGGCCCAGTTGCGCATGCCCTGATGGAAAATGGAGTTACGACGCGTCTTGCAAATGATCAAATCGGCCCACTGCACGACCACAATCGATATGAAGAAGGCAGTGTGGCAGGTGTATTCCAAGGTCTTGCGGTCGCGATAGGTCTAGGAGAAAAACGAAAAGCCTAATTAGTATATATACGATATGATTACTTAGATTAAGCTGTACGAATAGAGGTCAATGTCGCGGTTTTAAGATTAAGATTAGCAGACTTTGCTATCGAATACGCCTTGTTCCCTTTTCGAACCTTAAACTTGTTGAGAATTTGCAAGTGTCAAGCAACGAAAAAAGTAGCGCATGCATGCCAGAGTCAATTTTATTTTGGTTTTTGTACTCGAACATTAACTGTGCTCATAGAAGAGCTACTCTCCACAGACAGTGATTATATTTGTAGATAATTTAATGGAATATAGGTTTTGACACTCACCCATTCCTGACCATACGAATCAGTTAGATCGTTAACAGCCTTGGAGTCCCACATCTTACGTATGCCAAACAGTTTCATGGGCAGGAAACCGTTCTCAGCCATAATCACAAAGTACACAAAGAAACCGGCGGCGGCTTGGATCATGCCAATTTGTCCATAGGCCATGGAAATCAATCTGTTTCAAGCCGTTTGTAAATGGCCAAAATAAAATGAAAGGCAAACAAAAAGAAGTTAAAAAGCAGCTCGGGCAACAATTTTTTTTTATATTTTGTGTGGCATTTGTTGATGTTATTTTTTATTTTTTTTTTTAATTGTATTTCGGACGCAAGACAAGTCTTGTGGAGCATTAAAGATTGGGCATTGTTTTGATGCAGTTGCTCAAGGTTTTTGTTTTCAAAAACAAAAACTAAATTTAAATCGAAATAAAGCAAAGGGTTTGCGTAATACAAACATTTGGATAGAAATTAAAGCAAAACGTAAAGTTTTAAAGCAAGGCTGCAAACCAAAAAAAAAGGGTTGCTGGTTCGATTCACGGCTCAAACCTCAACTCAGATTACATGAACCCTTTCAGTAGCAACAATACAATAGTTTATAAGTTATGTTACATAATTTCCTTTAAATTTCAATTTTGCTAGAATATTCTCAACTATTCAAATATTGTTTTAAGCCAAATTTAAACAACATTAAATGGGAAAATTAATAAAAAAAAATATTTTTTGAAGTGCACTAACTTTATAGTTAGTTTCATTTACTGCATAAATGAGAAATAAATTTGCATTAAATTTTAATAGCGGGAAAGAGAAGGATCGAGTCGTGAACAAGTTCCTTTTTTTCGTAGTTTGCTTAAGAAAATAGGAGAAAAACCCTGAACAATACCAGCTGCAGCGTATCGTGCAGTGCTCATATTATATTATATATAATATGAAATGATTTTTATAATATTAAATATATCTTTTTATTAAAAGTTAGTAACTGTAACAAATGCCGCTTTACCTTTAAGCTCTTCGATAGATTAATTTGTTTATTTTTTTTTTGGCAAATGAATGTTTTATTATTTTTAGTATGACTTTTTTTTTTGAGAGGTGTTAGACTTTACAGAATATAGCGTGGATTGTGTTTAAGGCAAATTCTTTTTTTCTTTGTGTTTATTATATTTTAAATAAAGCGCGTTTAATGTAAGCGTGAGAGCGCAAAGAATCGTTTTCTTTGTATTTGTTGTGAAAAGCAAAGTTCAGTTGGTTAGTTTTATTTTGTTGGGATTGGATTGGACAGCGTATTAAAAACATGCAGCTAAGACATAAACAATGTATATACACACATATTATAGAGTATTTGATAGGCTAGTATAAAACGTGCAGTGCGAGCTGTTTCAAAACTAAAAGCACACAAAGTAGTTCAGTCAAATGCAGCTATAGAAAACTGTTTTTCTTTTGTTTCTTCCATTTACTTACGCTTAAAGAAGTTTTGAAGGAATTCAACTTAGAAACATATAAACATACATATAGAAAAACTTACATATAAACATAATAGGAAACAAATCAAAGACATAGACTTAAAATAATATCGTATAGATAATTAAAAAGAAAATCCATTTCTGTTCTTGTTGTTGTTGTTGTTGTTGTTGTTAAGAACCGAGCCCACATAGAGACTTACTGCGACATTGCGGCACCAGACTTGCTTTAAACTTTGATATATTGACTATATAGTGAATACATATGTGTGTGTGTGTGTGTGTGTGTGTGTGTGAGTATATCATCTAAGTAGAACACAACAGAAGCATTATATATTTAGTTTTTTTTTTTTTGCTTATTGACTGGAAACAATCCAACTACTAAATAACGCACTAAACTGGGCTAAAAGTAACAGCAGTAAGCTTCGCTTTGTTGTCTGTTTGTTTGTTAACTAGATTTAACTAAGTTTAGTCTCTTCTTGTTTGTTGTCAGTGTGTGTGTGTGTGTGTGTGTGTGTGTGTGTGAGAGAGAGTGTGTTTTGTTTTTCGCTTTGGCTAGTTATGCGCAGCATGTCCCAGAACAGGTTCTAGAAGCGTTTCTTCATAACAACAAAAAAATAACCGTTTTGGTAATACGTATTTTAAGTTTAGATTGTGCGACTAACACACAAACATTTGAATGCACATTGAATTTGTTTATAGGTCGAAAACATTTAACACATAATTGAATAACTTTTGACAATAAACAATAATAACGGTCATAGTTGTAATATAGGAAATATAAAGGTTAGTTTGTATTTTAGAATTTTGCAAACACAAACGATCTTTTAGTGAAAATATCAATGAAAAATGTTTTCTTCTTTACATTCCACATTGAGAGCTCGAATAACAGTAAATAAATTATAAATATGTGATAGATACGCAAATCAAATTGGGCAAACCATGAAAATCTTTGATTGTTTGAGAAGGAGTTGGAAAAACAAACCCAAACGAAACAAACACAAAACAAATGCATCGGCAAACAAACAAACGTATTTTGTTCTTTAATACCCTTGCAGAGGCAAACCCCATTCATTCTATGAGCCTGATATAAAAGTATATAAATATATATACTTGAGCAGTTCAACAAACGCGTCCTTAAAGCGTTAACTGGGCGCAATTAGTCAAAGATCTACGTTTCTGCTATAGACAGTGCACATATTGAAGTTGGCCGGATCGCAATACTATAGCTTTAGCGGACAAAGAAAGTATCGCTCGAAAATCGAGTTTAGGCATAAGAATCTAAGTTTACTAATTAAAGAGCAACATTGAAACCAAAACTTATATCGGACCATTATATCATGATAGAGTTCAACCAAAGATTGGTTTGTCTCATCGAAAGATATCGCAATGACTCTTGAGAAGATCTTATTAACTTCCGAGCACATATATCTTACAGTATACATATTAAGAATTTACAGAATTTACAAAAATGCACATCAGCTATATAGCTGCAAGGGTATTTAAGCTTCGGCAATCCGAAGATAAGTTTAATTCTGTTTTATTTTTTTTGGATTGTACTAAAATTTCGTGTGTGTTTTTTTTTTCACAATTTTGTGGCTTGCCAAATTGAGCGAAATATGTTGGAATAAAAGGGGGGGCGGCTGGGGGTAACGGGGGTAACGCGACACAAAACACACACAACTCAAACAAAGGTCGAATGTCAAATTGTAAATGGGAAATAAAGAAATGGTTGCATGTTTGTTCATTTTCTAGTTTTTATAACTAAACAACTAAAAGTAAACAATTCTTAAATGTTTTATTTTTTGTTTTTCTTTTTTGTTTTTATCCTTATCGTAATAGATTTGTCCTGACCTGCGGTTGACCAAGTTGTCACGGTATGGATCTCTCGGTTGACGCTTCATAATATCGCTCTCGGCTTGCTCGTAAGCGAGTGAAATGGCCGGTATCTTGCGGTATTATTTGAGTTTTTTTTTTGGTATTTTTCAGTTTTTTTTGCGCAAGTTTTTATTGATTTGTTCATTTGGTGCAATTTGCAAGTATCGGCAATTTTTTGTTATTGTTAGTTTAATCAAAAGAAAGGCATAATAAAAATTGTTGGAAAAAAATTGGTGGAGGGAAAAATACGAAAAGGAAAAAACTGGTTAAAGTTGACGCTTAATCTTTTGCTGGCATTATTAAGTATATAATAAATTTTTGTTATATACTAAAAATATTAATATATTAATATATGTAGATTTATATGCGCTAAAATAGTTGTTGTATAATTTAGTTAAGAGTAAGAGTTAAGAGTACTTAGATAGAGAAAGGGTCAGTTGCAATTGGTTTTTGTTGTATATAAAGTCAAGTTTGTATTTTCTGTATTATTTTGGTATTTTTGCAAGTGTTTACTGTAATCGTGTTTAGCTTCTGCGTACTTTTGAAGCTAAAACTACACTGGGCAGCAAAGTCGAGCCACCGAGTAACAAAACATCATTTCGTTATGAAGTTACAAGAGTGGGTTACTTTGGATTTGGTATATTTATAGAGATATGTATATATAGAGTTCGCTTAGAGCTTAACTTGCACTAAATTTGATTTGTTTATATAAGTAAGGATATGTAGTTAAGACTAGGAAAAACTTGCGCCATTCTGTGGCTAGTAATTGACGTGTTTTGGTAAACTACAAACCAAAAGAAAGTTTCATGATTGTTGAAGTTTGTGTGTGCGATTGATTGATTGATTGAACTGGATTGATCAAGAGATTACATAATCTTCAGGAGTGACTGACCATGTGATAGATGTTGCTGGATGATAAGGTATATGAAGAGTTATGACAAGATATTTAACTACTGCTGGGAACGCATTAAATTCGATTTACAGTAGTAGTAAGAAAAAAAGTTACATAACTTTAAGACTAGTTTCTTTTATAGTTAAAACTGCACTAGCATAATTTAATCTTTAAACTAAGTAAATAACGTTCTCTGTGTTGAGTTCCAGAATAACAACTTTCAGTTGTATGGGCGATAGGCGAAACAACGTAGACTTACCTTCCAAGACAAGCAAAAAAATAAATAAATCTCGAATAAAGTTGATTTCATCTGACACACAAAAGTAGTCTTTAGTCAAGAGGCGATTTATGGTTTCGAAAAATAAAACATTAGTGTGACAAGCAAAGATTTCAAAGGGCAGTAGAAAGTAGTTTCGGAGCACCGACAGCAGATTATAGATTTATAAATATATATGTTTAAGCAAGATATCAATAGAGACTAAAAGGAAGCAGAAGAGCACTCCAAAATCGAGTTGATGTTTCAAGTGAATGAGGCATAGAGCAAAAGTGGTTCGATATACGAAAATTGGTGGCGCATTTTCTTGATATATTCCGAGTGCGGTGCATAATTCAAGGAGAAATCGATCTGATTTATACATATATGTTTAACACCCGAATACGAATTTTAATAGTTTTTCTTTGTGTTTCGTTTGGGACTCTGAGATACACATTTTCATTTTTAATAAATTTCAGATTTTAAGAAAATCAAGTGAAATTATATAATTAATCTGTAGCTATTGTATAGATATATGGGTATACATATATATGGGAATACGAGTAAGCGCATAAAAGTTAAGTTGTATATAGTAATATATTATGGCATAATAATATCATAAGAAAAGCGCAAATTACTTTAAGAAACAAGGTTAAAAATTCAAAATGGCTAAACAAAATGTTGAAGAGAAAAATTGATTTTGTACTTGGGATCTATAGCCTTGCTATGGAGCAAAAGTTTTCGAAGTTAAAGTATGTCTCTTGAAGTGCTTTGGAATCGAAATGAATACATGATTTGAACCGTATTGGAAGTTGGGCTATAGCAAATCGTATACTATAGAAAATATATAGACAAATATAAATGAAAGTCTAAAAAAATATTCAACATTTACGTTATTCAACTTTCAACATTTAACTAGCTTCAACTTGAAGATACTCAAGAGAAAGAAAAGGAAAAAACATGGAAGAACATAAAACATGTAACAAAAATTTAAAGAATTCTGCTAGACATTTAACATAAATTAATAAAAAGTAAAACAATATTTCAGATAGAATAGAGAAATTAAGAAACAAAAAAAAGGAGGCTACTAAAATAAAAAAAAGGAACAGAAAAGAGTAAAAGTAATTTGAGGCTAGAAAAAAACTTGATGTGAAGCATATTGGGAAAAAGTTTGTAGTTCTTAGTTAAGTAGACAAAAGTAGTTCGTAGCAAGATTTTTGAATATAGACAGCGTACTTTGCTTTCAAATTTAGCTAGACCGAAAAAGTTATTATTTTTTTTTTTTTTTTTTTTTGGAAATTTTCAAATACAAATTTGGAATTTGCGAGAAGAGAAAAATATGGTTGCATTAGAAGAAATTGTTGACAAAAAAAAAAAAAATAAAATAAAATTTGTATCTGGTTCATTCGCAGCTCACTTTTACTTTTAACATTTTTTCTCTTTTTCTTTTTAGTATGTTAAGTGTATTTTTTTTTTTTTTTTTGCTTTTCATGTTTGATTTTGTTGTTTGTTGTTGTAGTAGTTGTTGTTGTTGTTGGGCAGCACAAAGAAAATCTTTACCTTTCGTTGACCAGCTTATCTTGAAAGGGATTCCTGGGCTGGCGTTTCATAATATCGGATTCAGCCGTCTCATAGGCTAAGGAAATGGCTGGCACCTAAACGTGCGAGCGCAGTGTAAAAAAACCCGGGTATTGGAATAAAAAGTAAATTAAAAATAAATATGATAAATTATGGAAAATTAAGTTTTTCAACGCGGGCGCTTCCCCACTCTCTTCTCCTTTCAATCCCTATCTCCATTGAGTAAACGATAAGAAATCCGTGGAAATGCTAGGGGAAGGGGAACCGTAAAACCTTCGACCACTTACAGACTAAGCTTCGGATCTTAAAGCTAACTTAAGACAACTGTTGGATGAGTATAGTTCTAGTCGGGATATTCGAGCAGTTTGGTGAGTAGCTTTGTGTGGCAAACTTAAATAACTTAAGACTTACAAACAATAGAAAGTAATTAGAAAATTTGAAATTAAGAGCAATCGCATTATTTGTAAATTTCAAGAACTTCCTTTTCTCTTTTTTTTTTTTAGTTATTTTTAGTTAGTCTAAGCTTTGGTGTACTAAGTATTTGCTACTAATTTTGTGTGCAGTTAATTTTGATAATTGCTGAAAAACAAGAATTAATGCCAATCAATAGATGTTAATGTCAAATATGTACGTGAAACAAGTTGTTTTGCAAATGTTAAATTTTTGGTTAACTCAGCAAAATATATATGTATAATAAGGGGCGTGAAAAGAGGCTATAGAAAATTAAATAAAAAATGAAATTGAACTGTGTTTTAAATAAAATAAAAAAACAGACAGTTACAACGCACACCAATTAACATTTAGAGCGTTAGAGTAGAGGCGAACTTTATTAATATTTTTTTTTTTAACTGTACTCAATTTACACATAGGCAGAATGTGGTGGTGTATGTGCATGTGTGTTTGGGCCAATTTTGTTACACGAATCAAACATAAGACAAGAGAAAAGGGGTATTTTCAGCACGCCGAAAATAAAATAGCCTTGTGTGTGTTATACAAGGAGACTTGTAAAGCTTGTAATTGCTGAGCTTGACCATGATACTACGCAAAATGGAAAAGTTTATCTTAGAAAGAATCATTTGCCGACGAATATCTGCAACTTCTTCATATAGAAGTCAGATTTTCATAAGATTATAAGCTACACGTGAAATTTGCTGACCAACTATTAAAACGTGAATGATTTGCTCAAAGAACAGAATTTAGATATCGATTTTCATCGATTATCAGAAACAAACTTGTGCTGCCTTGGCATTAGCTCTTATAGCTTCTGAGCTAGACGCGTACATACGGACGGACGGACAGACAGTCGCAGATGCTTTCTTTTTCCTGTTACATTCGTATATATATATATATATATATACTTTAGAAAGTCAAAAATGTCTCCCTTACATCGCAAGCCAAAATGAATGGAAACAACTACAAGACTATTGTCAAATAAAAAGTGTGTTAAAAAGTGTCAAATGTACAGAACGCTTGATGCAGGAATGCATGATAGAGTGGGGTTAGGGGGGGGTAGCCAGAACTGTTCGATTAGCCTGGTGGTTAACTGTATGGCAATGGACTAGTTCTGTACGATCTAGTGAGAATGATAACTATGCAGATGATAATGATTTAAATGGCTCAATTTAACGAGTTAAACGGGTATGTTACAAAAATGATACTGAAATGTTTTTCTTTTCTTGTTATGTATATAGATTATTGTTAAACTTTGTAAATGATAATCTTAAGAGTTAGTTTTAGTAAACCATAAAAATTATGGAACGACTTGTTAGTTAGTTGTCTTTGCGCTGCAAGTTTTCTTGGGTATTTTTTGTTTAGTTATTTTTTAACGTTAATGCTAATTACAATCCAGCCACATACACAGACATCGATTTGTTATAGTTTACGATGCTGCGCGATTTGTTTAGTATATTTTTCATTAAGTGTGCACATGTGTGTGATTGTGTGTGAGTGTGTGTGTGTGTGTGAGGTAGAAATTGACTTGATTGGCACCTTGAGTTCACTAATTTATCGTTGAATGGGTCACGTGGCGGACGCTTCATTATATCGGCTTCGGCATGTTCGTAGGCCAATGATATGGCTGGCACCTGGTTGTGGATTATTTCAGTTGGTAATATTAGCAAAACGTTTTACAATTCAGTTTACAATGAGGACACATCTACAGAGCACATTTGTCTGCGGGTGTGCGTGTGTGTGTGTGAGTGTTGGAATTGCTCAATCGATTTGGAAATAGAATTAAGAGAGTTTCATTATATACATACTAAACGCATACTTAAGCTACAAGAGTTTAGCCTAAAACTGGGCGATAAATATGCTGGCTTGCAACCAGCTGTGGCAAGCCTAATTGTAAATTACAGCGTACTTGTGCGCTGTTTACCTCTCGTTGACTAGATTATCGACATCGGGATTGCGTGGACGCCGCTTCATAATATCCGCTTCGGGTCCCTCGTAGGCCAGCGATATAGCTGGTATCTGCCCAAGGCAGGCAGCACAATGTTTACAATTTACAATACATTTTATAAATGGGTTATACTTAAGAAGCTACCTGACTTGACTTGGGGAATTTAATAATTTACATTTAACTTGCTCAGACACTTAGGCACATAATATTAAGATTAGTTATTGGGTTACAATTAAACGGAGGCCAAACTTACCATGTCAGTACCCAAATCGATGCACAGAATTGTAACTGTGCCCAGTGGCAGTGGTATATCGCACAGAATGAAGGCCAAGAAAGGTGAGATTTCGGGTATGTTGGAGGTCAGCGTGTAGGCGATGGACTTCTTTAAATTGTCAAAGATCAAACGACCCTCCTCGACACCAGTAACAATAGAGGCAAAGTTATCATCCAACAAGATCATGTCAGCAGCCTGCAAACCAGTCGAAATAGAAATTAATAAGGATGAGCAAACAAAGAATCATGTAAGGACGCACCTGCTTGGACACATCGGAGCCGGCAATACCCATGGCAACACCAATGTCAGCCTTTTTCAGGGCAGGCGAATCGTTGACACCGTCACCAGTGACAGCCACAATGGCGCCCATGCGCTGGCAACCCTCGACAATGATGAGCTTCTGCTGTGGTGAGGTACGGGCAAAGACAATCTCAGTGTGATAGCGCAGAATTTCATCCAGCTGTTCATCGGATACATCACGCAACTCGGCGCCGTGGACGACGGCGGCCTTGGCTTCACGTGGATTAACCTCTGAGACGGGTATGTTAAGGCGCTGGGCAATATCCTCAATGGTCTCGTTGCCCTCGGAGATGATGCCCACGGATTTGGCAATAGCTTTGGCAGTAATTGGATGATCGCCGGTAACCATGATGACTTTGATACCAGCCGAACGGCACTTGGCAACGGCATCAGGCACAGCGGCACGTGGGGGATCAATCATGGACATGAGGCCAACAAAACGCAGATTATCAATAGGGAAGTTAATTTCATCGGTGTTGTACTTGAATCCGGTTGGATACTTGTCGGAGGGCAGCATGAAATCACAGAAGCCAAGCACACGCTCACCAAGTCCACCGAGCTCCATGTAGGCATTATTGAATGCCTCCTTCATCTCTTCGTCGAGCACCTTCTCCTTGCCGTTGATGAATATGGTCGAGCAGCGTTCGAGAATACGTTCGGGAGCACCCTTCATAACCAGCAGATGGCGTGGATCGTTGGGATCCTCGTTTTCGTGTATAGACACCTGGTACTTGTTGGTCGAATTAAATGGCACCTCGGCAATCTTGCGATTGCGCTTGCGAATGTTCATCACATCGCCCAGGGCCAGTTCCATACATTTGAGCAGCGCCGCCTCAGAGGCATCGCCGCTGACCTCCTTCTTGAGAATTGGTACACCATCCTGGCCACCTTTGAACTCGGCACGATTACAGAGAGTGGCAATGCGAGAGAGCGCCTTGAATCCAGGGCTAGTTCTATCGTATTGAACACCCGACTGATCCTCAGTGGTATCGGCCTCAATGATCTGGTTATCGAACCACATATGGGCAACTGTCATGCGGTTCTGGGTGAGGGTGCCGGTCTTATCGGAGCAGATGGTCGAGGTGGAGCCAAGGGTTTCGACGGCCTCCAAGTTCTTCACCAAACAATTCTTCGATGCCATACGCTTGGCAGTCAGGGTCAGGCACACGGTGACAGTGGCCAGCAGACCCTCGGGGACGTTGGCGACAATGATGCCGATAAGGAAGATGACAGCATCCAGCCAGTGGTAGCCCAAAATAAAGGCAATCACAAAGAAGGTAACACCAAGGAACACAGCGACGCCGGTAATCAAATGAATGAAATGATGAATTTCCTTGGCAATGGGTGTCTCGCCGGTATCCAGACCGGAGGCCAAGCCAGCAATGCGACCCATGACAGTGTGATCGCCGCAGCTGATGACCACACCCTTGGCAGTGCCCTCCACAGCGTTGGTTGAGAAGAAGGCCAAATTTTTGGTCTCCAAGGGATTCTCGTGTGTAAACTCAGAGCCACGCGACTGCGGCTCCGATTCACCAGTCAGCGATGAGTTATCCACCTTAAAATTGCGCGCCTCAATGATACGAATATCGGCGGGTATGCGATCACCGAACTTAACCTCAACCACATCGCCCAGGACGAGATCCTCGGCGCGCAGCGTTAGTTTCTCGCCCTCGCGTATAACCGTGGCAAATTGGGGCACCATGTTCTTGAACGATTCCATAATCTTGGAACTTTTCGATTCCTGGAAGAGGCCAAACGTTAAATAAATCAAGCCGAAAGCTGATAGAGAATCCAGGCTTACCTGATAGTATGAGAAAATGCCTGTCACAATGACGACAGCGGAAAGTACAATACCCAGATACAAGTTATCATCGGACGGCTCCTCGCTGGTGGTGGCCTGAATCGAATAGGCCACAAAGCAAAGAATAGCACCGATCCACAGCAACATGGCAAAGCCGCCAAACAGATTCTTGCAGAACTTTACCCATTCGGGCGTTTGCTTGGGCGGTGTGAGCGCATTCGGACCATCACGTTCCAGATTCTCCTTAGCCTTGGCATGACTCAGACCCTGGGTGAAAAAGCAATTCAAGCGATTATAGATAACGGAGTATCTCGGTTTTTACTTACATTTTCGGGATGTGTCTGAAAACGCTGATACATTTCCTCAGGAGAGATCTTATGATGATCAATATCCAACTCCTGTTTGAGATCATCTAAGTTCTCCTTCTTTGCTGCTTTGGCCGGCATCTTGCGTCTTGACTGTGCGCATTTCATGAGATTTAAGAGAAGAAAACATATAAGTTAGTTTTGAGCATTTAGAGCAAGGAAGTGATTGCAGAAAGTAACCCAAAAAGCCGACACAAAAATCGATTTACTTCATGCCATTAACCGCTGTGTTAGGAACCGCGTATAACTCTATACAGGCTGATGTTATAGAGTGCTGTTTTTTAAGAGTGTATATTATATAGACCATTAACCAGTTTTGTAAGTGTTTTACAGAAGAGAGTATATCAGCTAGTGATATTTTTGTTGCCGCACGCTTCCAACTTACCCCGTTCAGTTAGTTTTCTATATGGGGAAGAATCCATGGTATTTCGGAGGGTGTTTGGTGATTTTGTCTAAATGCTCGTAATTGCCAATGGGCAGCGAGCGTGAGAATATTTTGTTTTGCCGTGCTCTAATCTAAACTAAATGCATGCGTTTATAGTCTCGCGCAAAACGCGCCAAATGTGAATGTCACGTAAAATGAATAAAAAAGAAAAAATAAACATAAAAATAAAATGGAAATGCCTCAAACTAATTAAGACGGTGGCGAAATAGTACTAGCTACTAACTGAATTGGGAAAATTCATGCGAATTAAGCTATAAACCACGAATGTTTCACTAATATATGGCTCGAATCCTACACTTATATGCCATGCACATTGACCTCAAGGCACTCTTTTGAATACTCTTGAAAATAATTATAAATAATTGTATACTAGATATCTGCATATAGATACGCCCAGCTGTCGTCTAGTCTGGTCGCTAGTCTCTGGCAAAAAAACAAATAATACACTTTTTTTTATATTTAGCTTTGTGTGACGTCACAAGTGCAAATATTTAAACATTATTTAGAAAAGCCCGAAACTGGTTTAAACTAGTTTCAATTACAAGCTCAATAAGTTCAACAGGTTGTAAATTCTGTGAATGCTACATTTTAATTATTATAAAAAGTAAACTTTTTGATTTACAATCTAACAAATAATCACAGGTCCTAGTGCTGGTTACTAAGTAACTGCCTCTACTATAGCATATAAATACATATAGTCCATATTTGCTCTTAATACTTATATTGAAATTTGTGTGCTATATTTAATCTGGCGATCTTTCGATGATTTCTTTCAAATGTCAAGCGGCAAATAATATTGGAAGCATGCCCAAAATACGTAAAAATAAATAAATACATGAATAATAAATGTAATTGAAAAACGGAAATTGAGAGATGAGAAAAATGTTTAGTACAGTACAGAAAAAAAGCCACGATAAAGTTAAATTAGCGCAGAAGAAAAGAAGCAAAATCAAATAAAATGAAAAGCATAAACAAATTCGTTGAGTATATAAGTTTTTTTTTGTGTTTTGTATACATCAAACGTATTCACATGTATTCAGATATGAGTATAAATGAGTATGGATGTATGAAGAGGGAGAAACAACAACAATTTACCTTGAAGTGGCCATCGGCTGTGCGATTGTCGTCATCGGTTGCAATAACCGTGGCGACTCGATAGGAGTCCGCTCTCTCAAGCTGCGACTGATATTGGATTTGATTGATGATGTTGATTGATGATGAGAGCGGGAAGAAATACAAATCAAAACGTAACAAACACAATGGCAAAACGAAAACGTACAACAATCAAATGCATAAACTAGGAACGTATATGGATAATACTATGATAATATGCAGGGTATAAATGAATCTTAGAATGCTTAAAAATAATATAAACTTAACATGATTAATAATACAATTATATAATATTCATATACATATATATATTTAAATATATGGGGGCTTAGCATGAATCAGCGCCAAATGATTGTGAATGCTGGAAAACAACTTAGGACTCACATGGGGACACTCGAGGGGACTGTGAATCATGGAGAGTTGAACAGCTAGGGGCATAATGGAAAGGTGAGGGCCAACTATAGAGCGCATGTGCCGCCGCTTGGAAAGCAATTGGAAAGCAAATTGATTTGTGGTCTGCAACCAACATGTTATACTCTACTTTATGCGAAGGCGACTCTGACGTCAATAATGGGCTTAAATAGAAATACTTGAAACACATATCGAGGAGCCGCATGTTTATCAGCAAATGGCCAAATGAATCATAGAGAAAAATAGAGAATCGTGGAAACTGAAGCACGGCGTAAAAATATCTGAAACAGTTATCTTTGGCCTGCCAATGAACTAATACCCTGCCTGACATTTATAACAGATTTACGAAATGAAATACTTAATTTGCTGCAAATGCTCCCATTATAGATACATATAGATAGATATAGTACAGTCCGACAAAGACTGTAATTGTTTAGTTTTGAGTCTCGAGAGAAAGAAAAAGATCTATTGTCCCTATGCGGCCGATATTGTTAGCTTGGTCTATGCATACAATTCGTCAATATAGCTCTTAAACGGAAAGACTAGTTCCCATCGAAACAGACAGACAGACATCGACTAGCCTGTTGATGCAGATCAAGAATATATATGCTTTATGGGGACGTAGATGTCTGCTTCAAGGCTTTGAGCATTTCGTGACACAAGGGTATACAAATAATAATAATAAGAACACAAAAAAAAAAAAACAAATATATATCTCTTCTATGTATATATCTTTTGAGAACTCGTGCAAAATGGAAGAGCATGCCAAGTAATTAAACAAACAGAGAGCGTGAACGGGAACGAATGAGAGCGCTACAAAATGTATAAAGATAATTCTTGCGTATATATGTATGCATGAATACATACACATGTAAATAAATATATGTATATATATATAAAGTTGGCGTGGGATCATTGTGCCGATCTAAGCAAACCTGTCGTGCGATCTTTGGGACGCCGGCAACGCCCGTTGAGCACAAAATCAAATATTGTTCACTTTGTTTGGGAATTGATAATTTATTTATTAAGAGTTTTTCTTTTTCTTTTTTGGGTCGGTTCAGTGGGTTTTCGAGTTGCAAAGTGGGGCATGAAATAAATCTGGAAATCTTTGCAAGCGGAACGGGCATACTTTAAGATGGATATTTTCAACAGTTTGGCTTACGCACTTATCTGATAACTGTAGCTGTCGAATTGATTTGCCTCTGAATAATTTGCACAAGTTGTCAGATGTTGCTCTATATGTATATATGCTGATATTAACGTATGCTAAACAATCTGCATGAGAAGGGGAGGGTATTCAAATATGTTAGTTTAGTTAGTTTAACTTAAGTATAAGCTTACACTAAATAATAGGCCTAAATTGGTGCAAATAATTGTTAACATTTGCTAATACAAAACGCAAACCAAGTCGAATTCTCATTTCAAGATCTTATCATTTAAACCGAAATTCCATATACAAGACTTAAGTGCAGTACTTAATTTAAGTTATGTGTTAAGCATGCATATTCCTGTTTACTTCAAATAAGTATTCAATTTAATGTTGTATTTCATTTGAACACGCATTACGCTTTTTCAAGAATACAAATTATTAATATATATATTTTTTTAATCAAAAGTAATTCTTTCTTAGAATTCTCAACTTGTACTTGTCATTCCAGAAATTCAACAAATTTGAAAGTCTGTTTTTTTTACAGCTCCCACAGACGCCGAAACTGGCGCTAATTTATATTTTCCTAAACAAATTAAATTCATTTTAAGGTGATTTTTTTTTGTTTTTGTTTTATTTGTTATGTTCATGGTTCGATTCATTTGAAAAACGAACGCGTCACGCGGCCATTGAAAACCGCGAATTTGTTTTGCATAATGGTGACAAAACGCAGCATGTGAATGTCGCCAATCCGAGAGATAAAAAAGCTGGGCCAAACAATTAGAACACGCTGTGGGGCCACTGTTTGGCGAAGCTGCCATTGGGCTGGCTCAGGATGTTTCGGATATAAATCAAAATGCGACAATGCCCAGTCGACATACAGAGAGAGAGAAAGAGAGAGAGCGAGACAGAAGGAGAGGGAGCGAACAATGTTTACATAACGCGACCAATTAAGCGCTCAGATACAAATGTATCGCACAGATACAAATGTATCTAAATGTGTTTGCAGCGGTTTCCCCAACGTTTTTTCAAGCATTTGGCGCGCACTTTTTGTCGCGCAAAGCATTTGGCATTTTGAACTTGAATATCAATTTACAACAAATAGCATAAAAGCATTTATCGGATGCAAAGGCGACAGTGAGATACAAAAAAAAAAAAAAAATAAAGAAAACCGAATTGACAGCCAGGCCGGACAAACCGGGCACAACAAAACACGGCACGCTAATTGTTCAATCAATGCAAAAATACAGATACAGTGAGTACAGACTACAAAAATGCCATATATGTATACACATATATGCTACAGTAGTCGCTCGCTAATTGAAATTTACAAGAATTTGAATTTTTACTTTTAATTGAAGTTCCATTTTGACCTTTGAATTATTGGGTTTTAAGAATTACATAATTTTATATATTTTATTGAGCAGACGCATTCTAATTAGCGAGCAATCACTGTACGAACAGTATGTACATTCCGTAAAGGTATGTGTCCAAAAAAAAAAAGACAAATTAAGCCACACAATGGAAACGACAATTGTAAACAATTGCAATTTCAATTTTAGCTAAGCGAAAGTGCATATAACAGCAGATTTATATATCTCTCTCGGATTGCGGTTTGAACCAGTCTAAACCAAGTTGAAATATTGCCTTCGTATGGGGGCCGACTGGGCCATACTCTGTTCGTAGGTAAAAACAGTCGAAAAGAATCTGCTGACTTTCAGACTCGGGCTTTGTATAATATATGTATTCTTAGGGCGTGAGTGGGTTGATTTGCGTTGGGCCTAGATATAAACGAGTACATACCCGAACCCATTTGAACACTCTGTCAGGACTTACACTACACAACAACTCTAGACCCTGTTCCTCACTCTGTGAACAGAGTACAACTGTAACAGAACATAGCCGAGTCACAGCTGTGACAGGTGCTCGCGCTTATCAGCGCAAATTGTCGATGTAAAGCGCATCGCTTGAACTCTTGATGAGAACTTAGACCTCACGCGCAGCTGGTGAAAACCAGTTTCGAATCATTTGTAATCTTTGAATTTAATTTCTGGGTATTTGGGCTTGTATCTGTATCGAACATGGTAGACCTGTTTATTTACTTATAATTTTGTTTTTATTTATTTATTTTTTTTTTTTTTTTTTTGAACCACTCGAGCTTGGGTTCTCGAGTGGTAACACGTTTTTGTGTATTCAACTTAGGGTTATTACGTAGGTTTTTTTGCTGTGTCAAGCTCTACCTGAGACACGTTACCCTGTGCCCAGTTTTAACAATTAAATGCTAATTGTTCGCAGCTTCTACGCTTAGCCTAACTCGAACGTTCTATAGTTCGTAACGTCAAGTTACAGAAAACAGGGCTCAGCTAAATATCTTAATTTAACATGCGAAAATTGTTGTTAAATCAATACGAAGTATCTACATAATGCAAACGGCCCATAGGATGTGCACGGTGCATGATACGCAATCGAAAAAGTTCCAGTCCTTTGGATATTTCAATTTACCAAGATATATATATTATTTTATGAGAAATATTATATTAATTCTCTATTTTTAGAGAATATTTCATTAGTTTTTCATTTTATATACAGAATTTTCAGGAAAAGGAGTTGAAATGGGATTTATAACAAAGTTTTAAGGGTAGGCTAGACATTCGAATATTTTCGAATAATAAATAAGCATTAGCTCTAAAGCCAAAACGCTCTGATTTGCGGCAGACTCTGCTTACGCCAATAATTAACGAAAATTAAAATGAATAGATATAAAAATAAAAATACTTATAAAGAATGCAAATGCTTGTAAATAAATAATTTATATGAAAAATACGTGTTAGCACATTTGAAAGATTTAATATAAATCTTCTCTTTTACCCACCTGAGCACTCATAACGCCTGCAACATGATGAAGTAACCGTAAAAAAAAAAAACGTAAAACAAATATAAAACAAACAACGAAGATAAAACTTAAGAACACCAAACAATTTAGTAATGCAATATATATATAAAATAAAATAACGTGAATAAAAACGTTGAAGAGAAATTAATGATTTTCAGCTTATGCAACAATCTGCAAGCAGTCAAAAAAAAAAGTCGACCCTGGAAGCCAGCAGGAGCCAGCGCAAGGCGGCGAAGCAGCAAGTGGACCGCATTGGCTACAATTGGAAGCGCAGAGTAGCAGAAGCGCAGAGAGGCGACATGGAAATTGGAAATGCCAGCAAAGCTGGAATAGAAACTGCAGCCAGCAGCAGCAGACAGCTGAAGGATGTGAGCCAATAGACAAGAGCAAAACCGAAAGAGTGAATGAGAGAGAGTGGGTGCGGAGAGCGAGTGATTTTCGAAATAGAGTGCAATGGCTGGCAGTTCGAAAATGAGCGCCATCAAGTGCTCAGAGCGTACAATATGTGTAAGGGCTATGCAAAACGTAATGTAAAAAAAAAATATAGTTAGTGTTGTTTTTTCTCCTTTTTTTTTTTTTTTACTTGTCCAAGATGCTTTTCACAGAGCGCACAGAATTATGAAATAACCAACAGCGCGAGTAGTCGCCGTCGCTCCCTCGAGCACCCTAACTGGCCCGATTTGTTGGGTATTATGTATATAGGGGCAGCAGGCACCGATTATGGGTTTTTGGGGTGGCCAGAAAATTACTGCTATTCCAAAATGAAATCGCCGCAATTGAATCTAAACGATTTCATTGCCACGAAAAATTAATGTGCACACTCACACACAGCAAAACAGACGGGCGGACGGATAGTAGAACAGATCTATGTATATGCATATATTATATACAAGAATAGTATGCACATATATACATATATATTTGTGTGTAATTTCTCTATAGGAACCGCAAAACTAAATGTCAAATCAAATTGCAAATACGATCGTTTATCATATCTCAGTTGGAAAAAATCGGTGAGCACACACACACACACACACACACACACAAATAACAGATACACTCGCATCAATGTTTTTTATTGCAAAAATGCATTATTAATGTTCATAAGCATTTCAACTAGCACATACATATAAATATATATATATGTATATATATATGTCTATATATATCATGTGTATATCACAAGCGTATCCATTACGGCTGGCATGAAGTTTTGGAAAATCGATTTTGTACAAGGACGTTGTCGTTGGCTTTTCTTTAGGCGTCTTTCTAGGGTCTTTTGCTGCAGTCGTTAGAACGAGAACAGCAACAACAAATAATATAAATGAGAAAAGTTCTTGGTAAAATTGATGTGTACCTTTTACACGCCGAGTGCTATTACACAATATTTTCCGTTGTGGGGGGTATTTCACAGAAAACTACCCCGTTTCAAATATATTTTGCACTTAAATTGCTGCTTCTTTTGCGAAACAACAATAACAAATCACACACGTTTTTTTTAACACTCGTTAAGCTGTGAACAGCTTAAGAGTTTTGGTTTTTTTTTTTTGTACTTTTCTATATGTATATTCGTATCCTTTGTGCTTCTTCTTTGGCTTTATCGATGCACAGTTATTGTGTAAGCGGCAGCACCAGCGCAGCGAAGGCGGCGGGCAGAGCGGAGAGCTGTAGAGCTGTACTAGTACTGGCGCACACTGGCTGTACCACCCGACACACAGAGAGACGAGAGCTCAGTGTAGCTACTACAGTTAGACCGACCTTCCTAGTTCGGTAACAACGCTCGACTGAAAATTGTCATGCATGCCGCGAGTGGTTAAGCTTTCGTTTAGCGAAAAAAACAATTCTAACGCGGCGTCGATTTCGAATATCGCTCGGAGCTTTCGTCCGCCAGATGTTTCGCTCCTACCGTACACACAGCTGCATATGTACACACATATATATACATATTTATGTGTAAACGCACACAGCGCAGTGGCGGCATTAGAGAAGCTTTCGAACTCTCCCACAACGAATGTATGGCAGTGTGACAAGTGAGGCAGGCAATGTGCACAGTGGTGCGAGCACTTCGAAACTGGAGCAGCACTCAATTGAATAAGATAGAGAGAGTATGAAAGAGAGCGTGTTAGCTGCTGCGCAGGAATGTGTGTCAGTCAGGCGATTTTCGAACCAGTTCGAATTTGAAAGAATTGTATAAGCAGCTGAAAACGGCAATAACACGTTTGAATAAAAGGACAAAACTATTTTGAATTTTCGACATTTACGGCTGCCATTTGTCATGTCCTCGCTTTTAATCGTTTATCGAGCGACTCCAGCTATGACGTCACGGATGTCAATTATTTACACAAGTATGTCAAGCCGTCAAGCGGAACATCCCCCAAAAGATATAGCCAAATCTCCACAGCACGTTAAGCATAAATGTCAGCCGTTAAGCTTTTATTTTTTATTGGTCAGGGGTTGGCTGAGCAAGGACATCTTTCCTTTAGCAGCTATCTTAAATGGTGCAGTTCTATTTTGGGTTCTTCAGCTCGGTTACGAGTAAGTCTAATTACACTAAATGTCAGCAGCACACACTCACACACACACAAACAGATCCAAGTAATATAAAACCCAAACAGAAAATCAATAGAGATATCGCAGCGAAAAAACCTGCTGACAGCGTTTCGAGCCACATGACAGAGGCAGGCCTGATTTGGATACAGTAAAAGCTGCTCTGCTGAAATAAAACCAAGAAAAGGTTCTTGGTTATGACTTTCAGATTTGTGATAAGTGAAAAGGACCTGGATAAGTATGAAAGTGGACCCTTATTTTCATACTAAAAAGTTCGTTCGCATATTAAAAAGCTTTGATGCCCCGAATGATTATTTTCTGCCAAGTCACTTTTAAAAGCTAAAAATATATATAAAAGTGGAAAAAAAAAACATTCAGTATGTATGTATTCAATATTCAGATAGATTTTTACCCATATACCCCTAAAAAGAAGGCTCTAAGCTTGAACCTCAGATTATTGAATGGATTCAGTATTGTCTTGAAGAACATCATTGTAGTCCACTCAATAAGGTTGAGGTTATGGCGAAGTTTAAGAAATTATACCTATAACAATATTAAAAGCATATTTCTTTTTCAAATTATATTATTATGTCAGAAGTTCTGCAAGCTCTGTTTTGCCCTGTTTTACGTAAATTTACTTGTTATTTGGATTGTCCCGCATAGCTAGTTTTCACTGTAACTCACTTAGGGCCAGGCAAACAAGCAAACAATGGGCGCACTGACTTTAAGTGGCCGTCGCTGCCGGCGCTTCTGGCCAAATGGGCTGAGGAAGTAGGTAATGCCGAAGAGCCTTTCATTGTCCTCTATTCTAATATACAACTTATGTAATGACACGTCACACACAGCACTTCGTGGGTGTGTGCGTGTGTAAGTGTGTTCGTGCTGTGTATAAACTTTGGCACGATGTTGCAGCTGTGACCCCAAAACGAGCGCCAGCAACAAAGAGCACCCCAAGTCACCCACGGACAAGACCCCTCGTTCCGCCCAACCCACAAAGTAACTCGTGAAAAGTTGCTTATGTAAATAGTCGATAGTTGGCAGCAATGTCCGAGCTTCAGCTGACAAATGGTCAACTGACAATAACCAATGCACAATCCTACCGGGAGGCATTACATTCAGCTTTGTTGACGTAGACAGTTCTATAGATTAAAAATGTATCTACACATATATATCTATTATGTATCGCGTATCTATATCATATCATTCATCATATGCGCTTTTCTTTGACTTATTGTTATTGTAATTTAACTACACAATTGTTGATAGGCGCTTTAGGTTTATATAGACATATATATGTATATAGCACAGGCTGACCTGACGATGGCTCAATTTAAGGGCTGCCATGACTGCAGCACGTGCCTGGGGCACACGAGTCGCACATGGATTGTGCTACGAGTGCGCTGGCACTTAGAACAAGTCGAAAGTGATCTAGTCTAGGGTGCGCCACCTAAAGATACTCTATATACTCTATACTCGAGCTTATCTGGGAAAGAGCAGGCTCGAGCCACAAGCACGAAAGTTATGTGGAGCGTACACAAAATATATCTCATGCTCATAGTGAAATTGTAAATAATAAAAGGAATAAATAAAGAATATATTTGCTTAAATATTAATCGAATAAATTGAGCCACCTTTAGGTATTTAATGGTTACAGGGTATTAAAAACGTTGCGCATTGTCTTGCAAATAAATATTTGAAAAATCAATAAGCATCGACAATCCCATGAAAGCAAATGCTGTTAAACATCGAATTCCGAATATGAATGAGCAATTATGACTTTTAAGCTAAATAAATATGTTGGTACAAAAGCAACATTGTTGCAGTTGCCTCTCAGATGATATAAACAATTTGCAGTGTTCTCCATATGCTGCGAAAAATTGTAAATATGTGTAGTTCGATTTTTACCAATGCTGAAACTCTCCATTGAGACGGTCGCATTCGCACATTACGTATACGCAGCGCGTTTTCGTGCTAAACGAAAAACGTGCTATTCACATTGACGGGACGCAGCTAAAACTAAACGAGCCTTGTTAATTGTTATAACAATTGGAACAATTCTATTAGTTGCTGTTGCTGATGTTTTTCAGTTGTTTAAAGAGAACCTTACACAATGTTTTTTAGTCATAAATAAACATGGCTGCTGTCTGGCATCTATTTGTGTTTGGTGCTCAAAATACATGAACGTTTACGAATACCGGACATAGAGGAATGGAAATATGAAGCGAGACAAAATGTGCGAAAGCATTAAGTGAAAACTCTTGTTTTCTTTTTTTGGCTTTTGCCAATTATATCGATTAACGTTTACGAATATTGCACAAAGAAGAATTCAAAAATTAACGCATACGTATTCTAAGAAGAGTGGTATTAAAACATAAGAAAAAGGAATTCAAAAATGGAGTAATGTTTACGGATAGCTTGCAAAGCAAAATTGAAAAGCCGAATATATTTTGTTATAATCCTTATTAAAATGGTCTACTATCTATGCCATATATATAGCGAACTGGACAACAAGTGATTACTGTTGTTCATGAGCGTATAGTAATTGCATAAGCGCCTGGAGGTAATTTCATTTTTAATTGTGTTCATGACCATGGCAAGTGACAGCGACACAAATCACAGACAACAGAGTGAGTGCAGCATAATCAACATAAATGTCTAAGATATCTACATATAGCACATGCTTTTAGCATATGTGAATGAAGCGAATGAACTATGGCGCTCAGACTTGGTTTTTTGTACTTGAGCACTGATTAAAATGTGTTGTGCCCCGTGCAGCTCGACTGGACTATGATGCCACTGGATGTGGCATGCTCAAACGCTGATCGCTGGCAAACAAACTGGCAACGTCTAGTCGCTCCTCGTAGGCGTTATGACAATAGATTTACGAGTATAGCGTTCGCTTAATTTGCGCTATTCATTGTGTGTAGAAGACCTCCAGCTGAAAAACCTTAAGACACAGTCGCTTGAATGAAATGCCCCCGGAAAAAACCAATTGTCCAGACTCGGCTTAATATCCAGTCGAGCCAATGGAAAACGTGTGCGGTGGACATGGACCAACTGCCAGGCTGACTGTTCGCTTGGATGGCTGTCTTCTTGGTGGGCGGCAGGTTTACGTATACATATCGCTGCCTTTGAGTGGCGCAATAAATTTTAATCAAAATTAAAAAATGTGTATACACAATAAACTAAACAAAGTGCCAACTAGTTTAACACATACACATACACATGCACATATACCCTATATAAACTGTGCATTGTGCGCGCGTGTGCTCTCTTCTTCTGTGTGCCCATTGTGATTGGATGGGAAAATTACTTGGGAACCAAGATCTGTACATGACAGAGAAAGATTTTCTCGCTGTTTCTGGTCATTTTTATTTAAATCAATTGGAGAATAATATATCCGAGAAAGAGTTTTTCTCTTAACTAGAATTACTTGGAGAAATTGAGCATTTCTTCTCGGCCTCCAGTCATAATTATAATTTAGAGAAGCAAAAATATACAATAGAAAGTTTCTCTCTTCTCTTAAGTCACTTTCATTTAATGGTTGATTGAATATACTCAAGACTCCCTTTTCTTTCTTCCTAACTTTACTCAAGAATGAAATTCATAAGGCTATTTTTTTGGACACTCTTCTTCTGAGGTACTTAGAATATTGTTTGATAAGTCGTCGCTGCTTATCTAAAAGCACATTTCATTAAGTTTATAGGTAGCACTGCGTGATAGCCAGTTTTTTCCAGAGCATTTGTGAGACCAATTAACAGAGATAACAGCAAAGATAGACGATTCCAACAAGCAAAATACTTGAGTTGGAAAAAAATATCATTATTACTCGAAAGATTTTCAGAGTTTCAGCTCAAAACAAACGTTTGCTTTCTCCTTGTCTAGACACATCTAAAAGAACGCAGAGTCAAAGCCAAAGTCGAAGCATTCTAACAAATTTGAATTAGAACACGGACACACATAGGGCTAGAAATTGTGGGAAAATGGAATTAAAAACGCATTAAAATCACGCAAAAATTCAAATTGAAAAACAATTTCGCTCGTATCCCGTAAAAATTTGGCTAGAACCGAGTTCACGTTTTCCAGTTAAGAGATTTATAGATAAAGCTTATCAATTGATGACGCAACTGGTTTGAAACAAGTGCGCAAACCAGTTAGTCTCGAGTGACGTTGATATATGTTTGATTATTATAGGCTACGTTTAATCAGAGATAAGTTTAGATTGTTTATTATTATCGAAACAACAAAAATGATACAGCAATCGCACAGTTAGTTACGGTTTGGCTGCTTTTGCTTTTGACTTCAAACCAAGAAAAGGTCATAGCGCAAAATAAAGATCAGAAGATATGATAAATAATATATACATAGCCTATACAGATAATAGTTCTTATCTGAGAAGAACAAGCGAAATTAAATATTAAGATTCAAATACGCAAAGATATGAAACAGAAGCATGGCAAAAAGTTGTCAGCTGGGGAATATATTATATTTTAAACAAACAGGATCCTGTTGGTTGCACATCATTGAAATGAAGAAAATTGAACTAAAATTAAATACTTTTTTGCAAGAGTTCAATTTTGTTTAATAGTCAAACTATTTGAAATGTGTATAGTACAATATGTGAGAAGAGTTAAGCAAATGTATTTGTAGCAAAAAGTTACAAGTTTCTTAATAAACTGGACTAAAAGGTACAAATATAACTATGAGAGCTAGATACTTGTTAACTTTTACGTAGATCCTCCAATGGCACGAGCAGATAAACTTGGTCTGATAACATCGATTATTTTCTATGAACTCTAAATAAATATTGATAAACTAACTTTAGAGCATATCTCGAGGTGCATAATAGCTGTTGACAACAAATGTAAATACTGAACTATCATTGGATACCTTAATTCAAAATATTTTGTAGAAGTTAAAGGGCAGTTGTGTTCATACACATTTGTACGCCATATTCAAGTCCTCAAAATTTCAAAAGAATCAGACCTTTTTGCATATTCAAACACTTCAATTCCTAAGCTGATCATTAAAATGTTTATTAAGCGATTCATTGGTTTTCCATTCTAACGCACCAGTCCATAAAACGACAGTCAAACAACCTTTTCAGTAAGTTCCCTTAAGGTATATTCTTTTCGAGGTATTTTTCCTGAATTATTTTTATTTTTTGATTTGTTGAAGAGGAAATGTGAGAGGCAAGCATCGACGTCAGCAGCAGCTCACATTGAATTGTATTTAAATTATAACAAATTGCGGCCAGGCATATCTTTTGTATCAGTAACTAGTACATATAAATGTATTTGTATCTGTATCTGTATCTGTATCTGTATATGCTTGTATCTATATCTGTTAATGTTTGTATCTGCATGTGTCGCTGTGTGCAAGTGTCACAAATTGTTGTGAGTGTGTTGGTTATGGCATTAAATTAAATAAAAATTTATTATGACAATTTATGTAGCCAGCTGCAAAGATGCCAAGTGCCAAGAGTAATATTGTATTTACTGGAGAAGGCACAGGAGCCGTCTTATGCACAATTGAGCTACATTGCCCGGCTTGTCGCAACTGCTGCTCTGTCAATTGCTCGCATTATCAATGCGAGTTATATACTGAATGTAATATTAGTATATTACTAAAGTAGGCATTACATACAAGCTCTTACGCTAAACACTTTTCAACAAGGCCAACAGGCGAGTGTGTGTGTGTGTGTGTGTGTGTGTGCCACAATATGCGTGTTTATGCCATTAATATTTATGTGGAAAACAATTTTGTTGCTACTTTTTATTTTGTATGCCTTTGTGTGCTGATTTTGCCAGTCGCATTGAAATTAAATTCGTTTTCATCAATTATTCATTATTTTTTCACTCTTAGCAACAGCCACGAATTATAAAATCATTGACAGGAACCAACATCTGCAGTTTTTCATCTTTTCATGGTTCACTTTTAGCCAGAAAATAATTTTGGATAACGTTTTGTTATTTCTTTTTTGTGAATTTATGTCATGTGATTTCCGCCCCTCCAACAAATTTGTGAATCTCAATTCGAGTCGCTGGGCTGATTGACTCCCACAAGATCTCGCTGCCTATGGAAGTAATGCTCAAATTGCGGTAATTGTTCTCGTCTGATGCCATCAACAATGCGTGTCAGTCATGTCTGACAGAGTGTGTGTGTGTGTGTGTTTGTGCTGTGTGTATACTGTGTGTGTGCCTAAGTTCGAGTTTAGTCTTGAACTACAACAAACAGCAACTAGCTTGTTTAAGCCGGTTTGAAAGCAGACTTAACTTTCTTTCTTAAAGACTATATGATAGAATGAATAATAGAATAGAATCTATAAGCCATATATTTATTTATGTTTACACTTTGTTTATAGATAACTTTTTAACATAAGTTAAAGTGTTTAAGTTGCCAACAATAGAACATGCCAGGACTTGAACCTCCAATAAATATTACAATCACGGCAGCAAGCCCAACTTCAAATCGCATCGGTTATAGCAAGAACAATAAATAAAAATGACAATAGTAATAGCAAATAGAAACAGTTATCTTCGCAGTGCCAAAGATTATAAGAATTTCAAGCAGATATTCTATACTTATCTCATTTTTGCTAGTTTTCATTCAATTTTGTTGAGATATATATATGTATGACAACTAATTACTTAGATACATGACCCAGTCACACTACATACATAGTTAAAGCCCGTCGAGCTGATAACATGCATGCAACATAATCAGAATGACAGAGCGTATTGAGAATTTGCCAAGACTGTGTCGGTCCGTCCGTCCGGACAGTGGCAGGGTCAAAGAGCGACCTCTGCTTGAATTGGCGTCAGTCGACGCCGTCTCAAGCTGTACGTCATTAGTTCCATCGATTAGAACCGATACACAACAGGGACATGGTGAGTGCCGCACAGTGGGTCCAAAAATAAATCAGAGCAACGGCAAACAGAAACTTATCTAGAAGTGTCGAAATGCGCTGATAAGCGAGCCAGAGAGCGCGAAGCGTGATGCCAGTTGAGATAATTAAAATGTAACTGCGAACCGCCGGCTACTATATCATTCATAGTATAGAATACCACAGCCGGGTTATGCAATCGAAATGGAAACCTTTAAAGACTCTGGCAAATATCGCTGGTAGCTCATAAATGCTCGGCTACAGCGGTGTAACAAATGCGAATCCTTGTGCTCGGGTACTCTAGACCTGAAAGTGCAACAAATCTCCAGCAACCGTCGACAGCTAATGGATAATTTACAGTTGCATGTGAAAACAAGGCAAGACGGTCGAAAGAGTCGAGGGGCTGCTCGACTTGGAGGTTCCCTGTAACCAAAACTGAGCTACAAAAGAAGAAACTATAAGCCAAGTGTTCTGTCTCCAACTCTTAGATTCAAATAGATAGCTCAATAAAGCGAGACTAAGCCTCGATACTTATCGATTTTAGGCAAAAAGTGGAAAGTTATCGATAATTTGAAAAGTTATATTAATCAATATCGATTTGGGATAAACAGGGAAGACATCGATAGCTGAAATACAACAGAAGCTGATTTCCTCTCAAGCTGGAATTTTATCGATTATTTGCCATAAACTTAAACTGCAAGAACTTATAATTGAATTTTCTGCTTTTATTGGCTCTGAGCTCAAGACATAACTCTAGATATTAAATAGGTGTATATTACTGTAACATATCTCCTGTGTTACCACTGTCAATGGGTACAGGCTTTGACAAGGGCATCTTATCAGCAGCAGCTCAGCTCAGTTGCTCATCTGACAAAACGAAACGAGCCTCAACGTGAAATAGCCGCGGCATTTGTTTAATAGAGCTTTGATTAGGTTTTTATTGTCATATATAATTGAATTAAAATTGCTGTTACTAATTTGCTGTCACACTTTGATTGTCGCACCGGCTAAAACAAGACTCGACACAGCTCTACGGAGACAATATGAAAACGATTTCTGGTATTTTCCAGTTGCAATCATTTTCCCATTATCGCAGTTCCCAGCGAATCGTCACAAACTTGTCTATTACCAGACAAACAACAACAACAGCATATCAGTATTTTTATAGACATTTGACCAGCCCCCTATTCAAGATTTGCATGGAGCCAACAACGCAAATGCTATTCAGAATTTGAATTATACTAATTCAAACAAAGTATTCTTCAGAAATATTTTCTTTCATTTCTTTCACAGCATTTACATTATATTTTACATT